TCGCCTAACTGCACGTTGTTCGCTTTTTAATCTCTTTATTGTAAACCTATCTTCCTTTCGAGAAACGGATCTTTTATTTCGTCCCTTGATCTGTCTGCCTGCAGCATTTTTATAATGATGATTAAGTTCCTATTCATCTTCTTCCAGGCAAACCGATTAAACCAAGCTGAAGTATTTGGTTTGCCTAGATAAATCAGAATAATGATTGATAATGATTGGTAAGTAGGAACAAAACGAATATTTCAAAAACAGACAACAGAAATCTTTTTTCATTATTATATACTTTATCATGATAGAATGATCATCTACATTTTTTATACTCACAGCATTTCGACTGTTGTCCCTTTCTGATTTCTTCAGCTGTTTCTTTCACCCAGTACCAGGCTCGCAAGTCACTCAAGGAAGAGGGTTACTGAACGGGGTATTAAATTAACTCTCTTTTACATTTTAACTGTTTGGAAGTGTTTCGGATTAATTTTGTAAGAGACTAGCAGCGTTGCTCGTGCTTGATTCAAAAATCGTACGACTCATACAGCAATCGCTATCACTTGACTTAAATATTTTTGCCTTTCCTTGCCTTTTCCGTGCTGATGTTGCCACATGCCTTACTTCTTGCCTATCTCACACTGCGTATTTTTCTAAGCTCTATACCAAACATTAAATCTGTTACGAAAAAAGAACTAAACAAAATGAACACAAAACGATCAGCTTTAAAAAAGGACTCGTAACTGGAAAAACCGAATGAAAAAAGAATGTTAACAACAAATACTTTTTCACACCCAACCCAGTTCCGCGGAATTAGAATCAACGTTGAGTTTAAGCACGCGAATGAGCCAATTGGAGTAAAGTGCCATGCAGATTTAAATTTTTCCCACTTGTGACGAATGCCGCTATCGATTCTTTTTCCATGCTAGTTAACATTCGTGTCAGTCAGATGTTGGCTCTCACGCTGGCCAATAGAATCTTCCTGTCTATTCGTGGCAGCCAGCTATTGGTTCTCACTCTGGCCAGTACAAAATGGCTGCAAACTACATGAAAACTGCCGTAGAAGCATGAAAAACTGATTATTTCCACTATCGGTGGGAGTTGGGAAATGCACTAACTTGGAGCATGTACATGTAAATTTTGGTGCAAATCCGTCGAAAATTGCGGCCGTTCATTCGTTATACACACACACACATCCTGCCTTTTATAGATAGAGATTAGCTAAATTCCTTACAAGTACATTAGTTATTGTAAGTGTGTAATTAAAATAATCTCTTTCTCTTTCCAGTTTATATTGTTTCACCTTTTTGTAGGTTTCTATTTTGACATTATATATAAAATAACTAGGACAATGGTGGATATTCAAAGTATTTTCACGCACTCAAAATACTCAGTTTTTCAGTTAAAGTAACAATCAATTATTTTGACGTTTAACAAGAATCGAGTTCTATTTCGCTAATATAGATCTTTTTTAGAAAAATAAAATTATCGGATCCCTTGGAAAACATGTCAAGGTAGGTTTTTTCCATAGTCATATCTTTTCCCATTTTGTACGAATCACATCTAACATTACTTACGATCCTTGTTTGAACGATGCTAAATACAGATGCCTAATAATATTTTATTAGGGATTATTTGCCTAATAATAGCATTTACCTAATAATAGCATTTGGCTAATAATAACATTTACCTAATAATATTTGTCTAATAATAGCATTTGCCTAATAATAACATTTGCCTAATAAAAGATTTTGCCTAATAACAACAATAAAATTATTCGATATTAATATTAGTGTGGCACCATGCATCCAGGCGATTTGAAAGAAAGAAAAAGAAGAAATGGAAAAGGAAAAAGTAATGCGAGACGGATCATAGGCGAACACACACACACACGGCTTAAGAAAAAAAAAAAAGAAAAAGAAAAGGGTTATTTTGGATAAGTGTCAAATGTCGAAAAGAGTTTCATTACAATGACAATGAGATTGAGTGGGTAGGGAGGTGTTATCTAAACTATTGGTACGAGAAAGCATCTAGGCCACCTGCGAACAAGCATTGACCGATTTCCGCACTTGTTCGCGCGAATGGAATTGTGTTATCAAGAAATGTTCACCAAAAAAAAGTCCACTTGAAAACGTTAGATTTTGATAATTGACAAAACACAGGTGTAGCTTGGAGACTTAGCTGGGTATGGAAAATTAAAATCCCACACAAGTAGTTTCACTGGTTAAGTTTTTTTTTCGACAAAACAGACTTTTGCCCTGCGATAATAAAATTTTGTTATCAGACACATGAACCGAAGGAAAATGAAATATTTTTATTTCTGCTTTGGAGACGCCAGACTGGCTGAGAACTTGGAGAAAATTCCTTTCTTAGACCATGTCGGAAAATCCAGCCGTCTAATGCATTACCGATAAACTGCTTGACAAACGCCACGTGTTGAACAAAGAGTTGTCACATTATCCGTTCATGATAACGGCGATTTGAAGGAAAGAAAGAAAAAAAGAGGAGAGATCATTAATCTTTTTTTTTAGTTAAGCAAGGTATATTTTTTTTCCAAAACAAAGCCACGGGTTGTTCACGCCCGACTAAGACGTCATTTGGCCAAGTGGTGATCACATGACGCACGAAGGAGGAGGAAAGATACCCGACCAAGACCTCATTGGCCGAGAGTGGTCACGTGACGCACGAAGAAAACTGTCGACGCCCCCATCCAGAGTGTAAGTATGAGAAGCCGCTACGAAGAAGTGGGGAGGGCAGTTCACGCCCCTCAGAAGCATGGTGAGAAAGTGGGAGTGAGAAAAAAGTTACCAAAAATGGAAAAGAGTGGAAAATCCCTAACCAGAAATAAAAGAGGTGGATATGTATTTAGAATTATCGAGGAACCCCCGACGCCACAGACCCACCCCGGTTTTGGTCGGCGTCAATAAAAACGAAGCCCAACAGACAGAAATCAGTTCAGTCGGACCCAGGCGGGCAGAGAGAAGTTCGTCCGGCCCTGGCGGTAGAGATGAGTGCCCAGTAGTTCGTTCGACCTTGGCGGGCAGAGTTAGTTCGGCCCTGGCAGCAGAGATGAGTGTCCAGTAGTTCGAGCCTTGACAGCTGAGATGAGTGGCCAGTAGTTCAGTCGGCCCTGGCGGGCAGAAGAGAGTTCAGTCGGACCCAGGCGGACAGAGAAGAGTTCGTTCGACCCTGGCGGGCAGAAGACAGTTAATTCAGTCCCGGACGGCAGAGATGAGTGCCCAGTGTTGAAGCCGCCTCAAGATAGCTGACCAAGATTCACGCAAAATTTTGGACTCTTCTTCAACCAAGAACAATTAGTTTGAAGAGGGACTTAGAACCAGACCACAGAAATAAGTTTTTCGACTTTCGTCCAAAGACACCGAAACACAAATTTTTTAGAGGGCAGACAACTTGAAGCGTTAAAACTTGCCTAGCGAAAGCGACGTGCCACAATCCACAGAACGGGTCGGGAGGTAGATGCAGTCCTATGTATCGAACAACTAGACATAAAAAGTTTGTTACCGTTTTTTTTGATACTTTGAACTTTTTGAGTTTTCATTTTCTTTTCTTTTATGCATATTTGTGTGTTATCACCCCCGTTGAACTCAATTTGCATTACGGCCCCAACCCCTGTTTGATCTCGTCTGTCTAAGATCAATTCACAACGTGGGTAGGCAGACTGGAGATCAGTGCAGTTACCTTGGTAACCAGGCGTTGGAAGCGAGTTGGGATCTAACCAGATTCCTACCCGAATCACCAAAGGGTTAGAACGTCACATTTGGGTGCCGCGACCGATACCAAGCCAGTTGGTCGTCACAGTACGAGACAGCACGACTGACGCGACAGGCGAACGTCACGTTTGGAGCAGCGACACCCGGACGGAGCAGCGAGGAGCGAACAGCTGGCGCCGCGGCGAAGACGTCACAATTGGTGCTGTTTAGGGACGTCACATCTGGTGTCGTGACCGGGATAGGACCCTGAAACGGCCACGTCACAACTGGCGCCGTGGTAGATCTGGATAGAACGTCACAGTTGGCGCTGCGACCGGGGGACGACGTCACAACTGGTGCCGTGACCATAGGATCGGAGCCTGGGGCAGCCACGTCACGTCACATTAGATTAGTCATTGCAAATTTTAGATAAACTGTAAACATTGATGGGCCAAAATCTATAAGTGATGGAGAAAGCAACTTATTTCTTATACTCAATGAGAAGATTAAGGATTAGACATACACAAAGCTACACATGAACCAACCGATCATAGTAGAACTTAAAACAGTAATAGATTAACGCGTTAAAAATTTTGATGGGTAGTTTTGCAATGGTGTACACATAACTTTTAAAGTAACAATCTTTGAACAATTTGCTCCAAAGCAACTAGTTGGGGCAATATATAAGTGTTTTGGAAGAAAATTAAAAAGCGATTTGATAACGTGAAGCACTAAATCTTTTTGCTATATTTTCACGACTTCGTTTCGTTTCCGTTCACATTTTCTGTTTATATTTTTCCGAGTTAAGCTGATGGTTTCCTTCCCTCGTTCCGGTTGAATAAAAAATAAAAAAAAAAAAACAAATTATGCTTTATTTCAAGTCTTATCTTTCGAAACATTTATATTATGATTGTAGATTTTTTATTTTGTTGTAGTTCTTGCGTTTACCGCCTGTTTCACATGTGGTTCTAGAACATGAGTCATCTTTACAGGGCCTCGAATAAAGCTACAATTCTTTTAAGAGCAGTTCGGCGAGTTAAGTGCTAGTGGCTCTCTGGCATTTGACACTGCAATCATAATAAATTTGGTAATTGTTCACGTTGGCCCTCTCTCTCTTACGATATGTTTACTTACCCAAGTACATGGGCACGGACGGAAACTCAGTATATTCGCATATGCACACAGCATGCAGGTAGGTAGAAGATGTGATACCATTCTTCCGTTGAGTAAGTTGTTGACTACCCTGAAAATCAGCATGACAATTCCATTCTTTTATCGAAACCGTAATGAAGATATCGGACTTTGATGCTGTTTAACTGCTCAGCGAACATTTTATCTATCTATCTATCTATCTATCTATCTATCTATCTATCTATCTATCTATCTATGTGTACGTTTCATATGTAGATCGTGGGTGTGTGTGTGTGTAAAAGTACTAATAGGATTTTGTTCCTTCTAAAACGGTCGAGGATTTGTATTATATATATATATATTTATATATACTAGCGGGGATACCAGGCGTTGCTAGGAAGATCTCTGAATAATAGTTTGTTATTGACAATTTAATGATATTTTCTACCATCTAATGGAAAATGTTTTTTTATTCAATCTTTAAAAAATAAACTCCATTTTTTTTTGGGGGGGGTTATGACAAAATAACTAAAATTATACCACTACCAATAGTACGCTCAGGGCAGATTATCCTCATATTTTTTATTCAAAAAGACATTTTATTTTTCGATTTAAATATTAACATAAATACTCTGTTAATATTGTTTCAAACAAATCAAACTTAGATAAAAGTTCATTAACCTTTTTTCAAATTATTATCAATAAAAAATTAAATAAACTTAAATTAAGATATATATTAAGATATATATTTAAACATATTTCATTTAATCATTTTTCAAGCTAAAACAACAGCGAATTTTCGAAAAAATTATTTACTATTCATTTTGGAGGGGAATTTAGATTTTTTTTAAGTAAATAAAGTTTTACTTTTAAAAATTACATTAAAGAAGCAAACATTTTTCCGTAAGTGAATTTAATTACTAACATTTTTGAAAGATACATTGAAAATTTAGTTTTGAAAAGCGATTATGATTACATTTCAAGTTATATTTGTATTTGAAAAGAGAAAAAAAACTTTAGTTTAATAAAAATTAGCAGAGGCAGAAATGACTTACAGTCAACATGAGTCTTGTGGAATAATTGTTTTACGAATTTAACGCTATTTTATTAAAATTAATTTTCGAAAAATAGTTTTTTGCTTTCATAAAACTTAATTTAAAATTATTTACTTTTTATGTTAGTTACAAACCAAAAAACAATGAAGTTTATTTTTTAAAGATTGAATAAAATATTTTTTTTCCATAAGATGGCAGAAAAATATTAATAATTCAGTAATACATACAGACAACTGCCCTTTAGTGTGTTACTGAGTCTTTGTGTGGGTCTGTTTGTGTAGAAGTCACCAAAGTAGGAGTTTACCTGTTTACACCAATTTATGGCATTTTAAAATGCATGTAAAGATAATTTATATAAAGATATATCTTACATGTGCTGAAAAAAATTATATCTCTCAAAATAAAATATACAATAATATTCAAAAAATTAATATGTTCCTTGCAGAAAGTTCTCGTGTTGAAAGCATATATATATATATATATATATATATATATATATATATATATATATATATATATATGTATGTCGCTGTTCATGAAATAAAAATTATGAACGAAGTGGATAATTAAAGTCCCTGTCTTCTTATTATCATTATAATGATCCGTAGTCTACATTGAGCACTCCCTGGATTTATATCCTCTTTGGAATTATCCCTTCCAGTCACAAACAGATAAAACATTATATATATATATATATATATATATATATATATATATATATATATATAGAGAGAGAGAGAGAGAGTGAGCGAGAGAGTGTAAGTATTTCTTGATAGTAGTATTTCTTTTGAGACTCTGAGGGATTTTCAGTTGTCGAACCTTGAGAGTAAGGGAGAGAAAGGATGAAATGCTTTTTAGTTTCTGGTTCGAATGGTTTGCCTGCCCGTTGTTATCTGTCTTAATACATTTTTTTAAGACAATAAAATTAATTCCCTAATTGGTCTTGATTTTGAATTGTTCCAGATTTATTTTGTTGTTAATTATTGTAGTTTTTTTTATTTTAGCCACACACACACACACACACACACACACACACATTTGAATAAATGAATATTTAAATTTGTTTTTTGAATAATTGTATTTAATATTCTATTTCTTTTAAATTTACTTTGTTGTTTTAATATTTCCTCTTCATTTTATCCGTTTCATCCGAAGTCAGTTGATGGAGGTCCGTAGTTGAGAAGTTTGTCTGTACATTCACCATCACCATTTGCAAGAATACGCGAAGCAACTGGTCAGAATGAAAGGAGAAAAAAGAAAGAAAGAAAGAAAGAAGAAAACATGAGATTAGAGATTCTTCCTCTTAAACAAAAAAAAAAACAAAGTTCAATTTTTAAAGAGTGAATAAAAATTATTTTCCATAAGATGTCCGAAAAATATTAATAAGTCAATAATACACAAACCCATGTTAATTTCTTTTTAGATTTAGCTGGACACACACTCGTATATTTGAATAAATAATATTAAAGTTTTTGTCAAATGATTGAATTTAATATGACTTTCTTTTAAATTTACTTTGTTCTTTTAATATTCTTAAAGTTAAGCTTTTGTTTGCTATAGATGTGAAATTAAATTAGAAATATTAAAAATACATACATCTATAGCGTTTCGAAAGTATCAGTAGAATTAAAAGGTAAAAACGAACGGTTATAATAATCGTGAATTAGAATTATTGCCGTTCGTTTTTTACTTTTTAATTCTGAGAATTTCGAATGTATTGTAATGCATTTTAATTTTAAAATATCTTCGTAAATACAAATCATACGATGATAATTTTTTGCAAAAAGCTGGTTTGGGTGATAATGAATCTGTATATGTATTTACTTTGTCGCGAATATTGTAGTTTAAGCCGGTCATACATACGAACAGTATAGGATTGATGTATACGGAATAAATTCCAATAACCAACAAATACTATCTATTCTTAAGAGAGTGCTCAATACAGAGTAGAGAAAATATAATTATTTATTCGAAAATTATAGCATAAGCATGTTATAAAATTACTACAAAAATAGCCATTTTGTTTCAACATTTCTGGTGTCTTATCAAGTGATGGAGTTAAATGAAGCCCTCTTATCAAGTGATGGTGTCGTGACACTATTTAGGGTTGCGTGGAAAAAGAAAGGGAAAAGGCGAGAATCAATTTAGGTGATAAGAAGCTATCACAAAAAGACACTGAGCGATGTTGTTTTTTCTAACAAAGAAAAGTGGTAAAGATTTTACTTTCATTAGCGAAGCAAGTAAATTCGTGGACCTGTCGGATTTGATTTGATTTATGACAACGCACCGAATAAAAGATAGCCGTCTACCCATGGCTATAATGCTGTTGAACGTTCATTGACTGAAGGGTGGCGTGAGCGGTAGGCGAAGGTAAACTAGGAAGAAAGAGGGGAGGCCTGTTGACGCCCCCTGAAGGGATTTGTGTGAGATGCCACTGTGAGAGAGAGGGGAAACCTGTTGACGCCCTCTGAAGGGATTGGGTGAGATATCCATATGAGAAAAGAAGAATTTGGGAAGACGATTCCCTTAAACTAGAAATTAAAGATTTCCAAAAATGGAAAGTAATAAATTTTCCTGACCGAAAACAAAGAAAACCCTTAATGTGGATTTAGAATTATCAAAGAACCTCAAACCCCGACAGGCCCACCCCGGTTTTGATCGGTGTCCATATAAGTAGAGTCGCAGCGAGTGGACGGCAGTTGAGTTGAGTTAGTTGGGGTTAGAAAGACAGGCAAAAATTGAGTTGTGAGCTCTGAAACCCGCCTCGCAGGAACCTGACTGAAAGATCCATGCAATCATGACCTCAACTTCTAACCAAGAACAATTTATTTTTGAAGAACAACTTAGACTCACACCACCAAAACAAGTTTTACGAATATCGCTTGAAGATACACCAAAACCAGTTTCTTAAAAGAACAACTTAAGATGTTAAGACTCGCCTAACAAACACAATGTGTCACAAATCCATATAAGCGGATTGGAAGAAAGACGCAGTCCTCTATTCAGCAACCAGATATAAAATATTGTTATTCTTTTTTAACACATTTGAACTTTTCGAGTTGTTACTTTATTTTCTTTTACATATACTTGTGCGGTATTACCCTTGTTCGGACTCGACTTGCATTACGGCCCGGCGACTGATTGATTTCGTCTACATAAGATAAAATCACCACGTGGGTAGGTTAGACTAGAAATCAAAACAGTTACTTCGGTAACCAGACGTTGGAGGCGAGCTGGGAACGACAAGGCTGATACCGAATCTAACCAGATTCCCATCCGAATCAGCAAAGGGTTAGAACGTCACATTTGATGCCGCGACTAATACCAAGTCACATTGGTTGTCACAGGACAGGGTAGGACGGCGCGGAGACAGACGGGGTGGCGTCACAACTGGCGCCGCGACCAGGACAGCACGGCGGGCGCGGACAGGCAGACGTCATAATTGGCGCAGCGACCTCGGGGTGACGTCACAGTGTTCAATGTAGCTCCATTCAACACCATCACTTGATAAGACACCAGAAGTGTTGAAACAAAATGGCTACTTTTGTAGTGATTTTATAACATGTTTATGTTATAATTTTCGAATAAATAATTATATATATATATATATATATATATATATAAATTGCTCTTAATGGTGTACCATGATGACACAATTGTAATTTTAATGACAGAGCTTGAATGTTAAACAAAAGCTATACATTCATACACACCCTGTGTATAATCATTAAGCTGACAAAGTTCTTTTTTGTTTTTTTGCGAATATATTAACATGAACATTGCAGAAATATAACAATTGTTCTTGCATGGAGTTCTATTGTCGAGGTTCTGCTGAGCACTCCTAATATCACTCCTATACTGAAAATTTGAGGATCCTGTAATCGTGATCAATCTTATCAAAAACACTGTTTGGTGTTCTGGTAACATGTGTTTTCCCGTATGTCTGGCTTTACCATCTCTTCTAGTTTTAAAATGGCAATTCAGTTCAAATCTTTGACGATCATAGTTGAGAGGAAAGAAAGAATACGGAAGATTATAAAACTTGTCTTAGGGCTTCTTATGGAATATATACATCTATATATTGCGGTAAAATGTTTGACTAAGTGGATAAGTATTTTT